TCTGGGGGTAAAATGATTATCTGGCTAAATCTGCTGGCACAAAGGAAGTAAAGTCTACAAAGGGACAATGTAGTTTGTAGAACAGGCAGCTGGAGAATATTTTAGTAAAGCTATCTGATTGTTTATGTCACCACATTGGTTATCAGGGAAATTTACAGAACATGTCATGCTAAAGTTTTTGTTTCTCTGGATATGAGGCATTGCTGTGATGGCAACATTTTGGTTGAAAATAGAAACCTTGATAAGTGGAGATCAAGGTTATATCCAGTGAGCAGACCGGCCAAGGCTCGGGTTAATCTTGGAGCAACTGTTGCAACAAGGACAATCCTTTGTAAGACAGAAAGTCCAGGAAAGAGAAACGGTGGGACCACAATATGTTTCCTCTCCACAATATGTTGCTTGAGGTTTGTTACATCATTAGATTGAAAGCTTGATCATCTTTTAACCATCCAATCGATAGTGTAAAACGTGTTGTGTACTGGGCCAGATTGTTTCTGCTTGAAAACAAAACGTAATTGCATCAAGGAAGCTTTTATAGCTAACATAGTGTGTAGTAATTGGTCTATGAAGTAGCAGCAAATTCCCTAGACTAGGTCAGTATGGAACAAAAAGCACATCAGTGCTCTAATGTGGAGTCAAAAGTAAGCTAATTTTCCTCCAGAGGGCTACTGAGATATTGACTGGAAACTGTGTGTGTGCGCATGTGCGTGTATTTAAATAAGAATGGTTGTAGTCAACAAAATTATTTATTTCAGTTGAATGATCTGATAAACTCGAATATTCATTTGTTGTGTCATGCATCTGACAGACACAATTATTTTCCCGACAAGTACTTTATGCTAATGAACACATCATTTCATGCACCATTAATCCGCAGACTTGAACACAAAAATACACACAGAACCCAAACTTCCCTGAAGGAACAGGTCATTCCTGGAATGATTCATCCTCCACACTGTAACAAACACACACACATGAACCGAACACTTTCACTGCCTCATTACATCAGTGTGTGTATCCATGCCTGATCAGACATAATGACTGAAGGGAGACACTCGACAGATTTCCTGTATTCTCTGTGTGGATGTGTGTGTGAGACTTGCCCTTGCTGCCCTTCGCCACACTCAGCAGAAGATATTAAGCTAATTGCTTATTAAAAGACGATGTCATGTGTTAGTAAGCCAAAAATGGGGGAGGATAGGTAGTCAAAGCTTGTTCGGATTAGGAAGTTCCAGTCTGTTACCACAGAAATCCCAGAAAGAAGCAATGGCTCTTTTATTCTCTTTTTATACGTCTTTGAACTTTATCTAGAGAACTGGAAAGTCCAGTTAGCCTTTGTACCTGCATGATGAAACAGTTTGACTCCAGTGCTTCATACTTTGTTTTTATATGATGTAACATTTGGTGATAGCAGATGATTCACAGCCTTTTGACCCAAATGTGAACTTCGATGAAAGATTCAACAGTCGGAAGTATAATAGAAGAACTGATGCAAAAACACCAGAAACAGGTATTAAATTAGCTTTATGAAAACAAGCCAATTTTGGAAAAATCTAATGCTTTTCAATTAAAAGTCATGTGAAGAACACCTGGGTGTCAGTACTTGTTGAAAAGAGTAGGAAGACAACAGGAAGTGGTAGGAGGATGATGGTGCAGCATTTTTTAAAGGACTTATCACTTGACCGATCTTCTTCATTTTTATTGTTTCTCATTTAATGGAAACACAGTAACCGTAAAATTGTGTTTTTCCAACTTTAGTGTATCGTAAACAAACTTTTGCGTAGATTAGTAATAGTGTGTTTTTTTGGGTTTTTTTTTTACTATCATCACTAAGATGTCTCCTCTAAACCGACAAACCAGATGGATGTACACGGGAACCAAATGGGGAGCGAGATTCCAGTCGGTCCAAGGATTTTAATTCTATCTCTTGTGATTGCAAGGAATAAATTTCAGTTTACACTTTGGTAGTTTGCACGGCAAAATTAACCTCACTGTGAAAATGCAGATGATTTTTCACACAAGCTTATCAACACTCGCGTTCACATGTCAGTAAGGGTCAGTCGCAGCTCAGCTGGTGTGGAATAACATCTCCTTGTCCTAAAGCTGGAACATTTTCAGTCTAAGACCCCATGCTGCTGTCAGCTGGAGATCACAGCTCAATGCTGAGAGCTGAGATTACTGAGAGAGGTCAACGAAAATTAAGGGACATTTTATTTTACACAGATATTAAAGAATTTCTACAAGCATTACCACAAAAATCAGAGCTGTGAGCCAATCTGAATTGGATTGTTGGGGATGCTGCCAGAATTTTTCCCTCATATTTACCTTCTGACTTCCATATTTACAAAGACTAGCATCATAGTTGCAAAATCACATTGACATTATTGCTGAAGTAAACCAAAACTGGAGAACTTGTGCTGTGGTTGCCCCACCGTAAATGTCAGCGCTCCGCTGATTGGATGCACAGAGACATGAGATAACTGTGGGGCAGCGCCCTGTCTGGGGTAGAGATGGCCCAGACCCAGTGACCTAGACCCACCGCACACCTCCAGCAATCCTCACCTGCTGGCGAAAACCAAACTCACCCCAAATTGTCTTCCTTGCTATCCCTCCCATTAAGTCCATAAGACTGATACTCACTGGTGCATGAGCCAAATCTGGTATACGCCTGGTATCAGGTGATAGTAGACGCCATCCAGGGCTCATTAAATGGAAACTACAGTATAACTTCACTCATATATTCACTGAATGAATAGCTCAGAAGATTTATAGAAGGTAAAACAATATTGTGCCCATTTAATGGTGGGAGCTATTGTTTTCACAAAGTAGGGCTACAAGAGATAAGCTTAAACAAATCATTGTGTTGACAGCCTTCTGCAGTAAAACATTGACAACTGAAGCTGCTCAATTTCCTTATCTACAACCTTTTGTTTGTTTTAGATTTTATTGTTGTTTTAATTAAAAAATGCAGTGTGTTAATATTGTTTCTGGTTTGGAGCTGGAAGAGTGAAAATACACTTGATGATCTTGTTGCATACATTCAAAGCTAATGGAAATGTGTCAGGAAAGTGTGTGCATTACAAACTGTTAGTTATTTTATTAGAATAGTATGAAAAAATCATCTTAACATGATTGAATTAAACTAGTCCTCCACCACACAAAGCAATTTACATTTAGCTGAAAAACAAGCTGTTTTGGTTGCGTTTTATTTGGCGGTATCAGAATATTTGGGGTTAAAAATAAATTCAGGCCACATTTTTCTGATTTTGTTTGTAAAAATCTTGATGTGTTAAATAAAGTCCAAGTAGATACTTTGAATTTTTTGATGTGACAAAATGTTCAGTGAATCTTCAGTAAGTAACATAATATTCGTTTACATTAGCAAATTTATGGCAAAAAGGCCTAAAGACATAAAAGTTTGCTGTCCTTGTGAAAATCTGCAAAGTCTGCTGGACATTGACAGCCGCACGTGACCAGAAACAGGTGGTACCCTCATTTCTATTTTGGTCGTACAATATTTGGACAAGCGTTTTTGTCAGCTAAATCCATTAACAAAGGAACCCAGTTTGTTCAACTCCATGTCCTACGTCTGTCTCTAATGTCAAATGTCACATTGGATGCATAAAACAAGCTTTTAAATTGTAGTTTTTAAAGCCAAGCAGAATTTGAATGAGGTCAAATGCATATGGTACGGAGCCGGCAGCCAAGCAGCACAGCTACGGTGTGTAAAGTCCCCCTCCTCTCCGCTTCCCTCGTCCTTTCTCTCCTGGCAGTGTTGTGGCCTGGAGGCAAAGCTCCCACACAACAGACGGGACTCCCACTTCACAGCCTGCAGGGTGGAGCTGTCTCACTGCATAGACTGCTGCCAGCAACACGACGAGTCAAATCACTGTCGCAGAGGGGAGTGCCGATGCAGAACGCCGCTGTTTTTCCCATTTTTGTGGAAATTAGCAATGATTTTGTGTTTAGGAAACAATAGCCTGCAGGCAGGGAGATCAGCAGGGTTCCTGTTCACACTTTGGGGAAAAGACAATGAAAAGTGATCATGGCGCATGGAGTCTCATTTGGAATAGGTTTAATGAAGTCTTTTTGGGGGTTTTTCCCCCTAATTGTTCTCTTTGGCTAAGCTACGATAAGTACATGTATTACTCATGGATAATGAGGGAAATCCTCCTTAGAAATGTGACGTCCAGTGGAGATTAGTAACACCTACAGTAGGTTCACTGGGTTCGTTGTGTGTTTGTATCAGAGAGCATCTGTAAATTACATAAAACGAATGTTGTACTATAAACATTACTGTTAGGCTTTCAAAAAAATTAATTTGAACTTGATTTTTATAATCTGGCATATTTTCTATTCAATTCAACCAAAAACAAATATCTCAATTAGGGGGAAAGTCTTGCTTAAAGCTCTTGATTTGGTTGTGTTTGTTCACTAAGCCTGGGAAAGGCTTTCCAAGTCCAACATATTGGGAGGCCGTCTCTGGTCTTTCAGGAGACTCTACAGATTTTATTTTCTGATTTAGTTCTGACCTTTAGTATGGCCTTTGCAAAACATACTGGACAACTTGTTGGCTACGGTTTCCTGAAGATTTTGGGTTCAAAGTGGGATCTGATTTCCTCCTTGACAGAAAAAGAAAAAACTGTTTCATCCCCAGATCACAATGATAGTGCTGCCACGTTTCACGGTGGGTATGATGTTATTTTTCTGATGTTTTTTTTGTTTTAAAGATTGAATTTCTAATCTTCTTTTCCCAATTAGTCTTTTCTTACAACATAACTTCACTTAGAGTCCAGTCTAATACCAAATTATACCAACCAGTTCACTCGGCTTGCCACTGAAGCCTGTGTGACGTAAATGTCTCCATTCATATCTGCCCACTTGGGTTTGCTTGGACTCTCCAGGGGCGTTTTTGTGCAGCTCAAATTTTGGTGACCATGGTAACAGTGTATTCGGTCACAAACACAGTTGATTAGAACAACAACAAATCAGATCCTAAGCAAAATAAAATGAACCTTTTGGGTGTTTTTTTGTTGTTTTTACCTTTTGAACCTCAGAAGATCTAGTTTCTCACATTTTCAGATCCTTAAGCTTTTTGATTATTGCTCTAACTATAGCTATAGTTAGGTAAGAAACTATTGCATTGGAGCCATTTCTTGACTTCTGAAGGCCAACCAACGTCCACTTGGTGCAAATGTTTGTGAGTTTTCTAATCAACCACAACTTCAAAATCCAATATGGCCGTTCAGTAAACATGACAGCTGCAGTAATAAACTGTTTAGCTGGACCTGATGTCTCTTCCACATTAAATAAAGTTATTTGCACCTAGTTTATAAATTCTTGCATGTAGGTTCTTCTTGCAGTACATTTTCTACTGTATTCCGTATTTTAATTAGATATTGTGTGATCCAAAAGGGGGCGCTCTCCCGGTGGACTGCAGTGTGGAGGCAGCCGGCTGGAGGAGGAGCAGAAGGTGGAGGAGGAGGAGAGCCGCTGCTATTGGTTCCTGCCTCCTTATAAATGCAGCCAAATGGCATTTACCGGCACAGAGCAAGGCGGAGACAGCAGAGAGACAGCAGTACTGGGAGTCACCCACTCTACGCCTCAACAGTCAGGACTGGACTCGTGTTTGGACCTGCGCGATCAATGAAGGAGAGACGGCCGTGTCAGAAGTCCTCTCTGAAATCCGGCATGGATCCCAGTCAGAGTGTGAAGTGTAAGATCGTGGTGGTGGGGGACAGCCAGTGTGGGAAGACCGCGCTGCTTCACGTGTTCGCCAAGGACTGCTTCCCTGAGGTGAGACCCGCACAGCATGTGTGACCTGCGTTTAACACCGCACAGGGCCAACTCAGCGCATTGTGTGTTGCATGCATCCATAGTTTTAGTTTGACTTTAAAACACCGGTATCAGTGAAGCGCTGGTTTTCTTTGAAGTCTAAATCCCAGCAGGCGTCCTCTCTCTAACATCCACTCTGCGTGTTTCTCCCCCCACTCTAGAGCTACGTCCCCACAGTGTTTGAAAACTACACGGCCAGTTTTGAGATCGAAACGCAGCGGATCGAGCTGAGCTTGTGGGACACGTCAGGTAACCAACATCAGCCGCTTTTTGCTCTCTGTTTTGTCTCTGAGGACATGTCCCAACATGCCACGGGACTTGGACTCGACCTGCTGTGACTGTCCACCCACCCAAACGCCTGCGTGGATTAATGGGAAGCTGGTGTGTTTCCAGTAGATGTGGAGTGGTTACTGGCATCAAAGTATTAGATTTTGTTAAATAATTTACAATTTCAAAACGCATTCTTGGTGAGTCACTAAGATTATCTTACAGAGTGAAGAAAAAAATACTCCTCCCCCGCCTGTTGCTGCCCACTGCCAGCCAGCTGGCTGGTACACATTCAGTTACAATAGAGGGATAAAGATGAAATTATGTTTGATAATTAATTTAAAAGCAGTTGGATTTTGTTTCATTTGGCGGTGTCAGCCATTCTTAATTATATTATGTGGCCTCATTTCTAATGTTGCCCTGGGCAACTGCCACTGAGACTTAGAAGCTGAACGGTGGGAGACATAATCTGGTGGTTAGCTAGCCGTGTAGCTAGCCCAACTAAATGAGATTATTGATATTGTTTCTGTTTTTGTTTAGCTGGCAAATGGTTTCAGTGTTTCTTTAAATACGTACAAATCTTTCTGTTGGGTCCGGAGTTGGGCCTTCATTACCTTTTGCTGCACACTGCTGGTGAGCTGCCTGAAAAAAGGCAAAAAGAAGGAAAAGTCAGACTTGCAACCAGGAAAAGTGTGGAAATGAAAAGGAGCTGCCATCCACCACTCTTATTAAGCTAATACAGAGTAACTAGCTTAGCAAAATAATCCACGAACATCAGCTTCCTTGTAGGAAAATAAAAATAATTTACTACTGAAATAAGGAAAATTTACAGGAGTAAGAATAATAATTGCCCTTTGGTTTTTTTCAATAGATTTATTTGGAAATTCTATACCAGCTAGTACTTTAGAAATCTATGTTTATTTGAATTTTACACTGAAAAACATGAAAGCTTTTTGCTTAAAATATTTATATACTCGCATATAAGAGTTATGTATTGTTTATGTGAAATTAAAACTCATTTGTTTCAGTTAACAAAAGCTTTTTAGTTTAAAAACTAAATCCTTGAGTAAAAATGCCATGTTTCACAGTATTGACACAAATTTTAAATGATAAAAAATTGACATGGTTTATTAATTTCTTTTATTTTAAAACGGATAAGCAATAATTATGCTATTGCAGCTGAGATTAGCAAGGTAATGAGCATGATTATTTGCTCACTATGTACCTTGTCTCAAAAAAACATTTTCTGATGTTTACAGTCACTAAACTGCTAATTTCTGTAAAGAAGTGCAGTTTCTTGTGAGCAAATTGAAAGTGTAGCAGCTGTGATTAAGCCAGCTGACTGGTAGTGTGCAGCATCCTTAGGGAAATGTGGATCGACTCTCTGCCTCATTCATCTGATGGATGATGGGAATGCTGTGATGTCTGAATGGTTTAGTGGTTTTGAAACCTTTGCACTTTGATGCCAGAACCACCCAATGCCTCGTCAGGAGGTGTTTGCACAACGTCAGATTAGAAACCTTCATACCAACCTCACCTTTTATCTACAGGGAAACATCTGTGACTGTTTAATCCAGGGAAAATTTCTCGAAGATTCCCAGCTGAGCCAAGCTAAATCATAAACTTAAAAATGTAAACCGAACAAGCCTCAAATTCATACATCTGGTGAACACACTCTGGAAATTCCTCCCACACTTCCCGTTTTTTTGTCTTCTTTTTTTTTTTTCTAACTCGAGTTGCACAATACATCCTCTCCACCCCTCAATTATCCTTTTTACTCTCACATATAGTTGAACTTTGTTAAAACTAGCGGCTGTGTCCCAAGCTTGTGGGCTTTAAGCACGTAAACAAAACGCTCTTTGCAACCATCGATGCGCGATCGGAGAAAACGGGCAAAGCGGGGAGGTGTGATTGAGGGCGTATGTTGAAGACGTCCAAGCATTTGGTCTGTGTGGGAGTGCTGGGCGGGGACAAGCAGACAGCCAGCTGTTGCGGGTCTCTGGGCCTGGAATTTCAAAGCGGCGTCTGAATAACTTTAGAGAATCCAGCTTGAAATGATTTTTTTTTTCCTGGAAAGTGGCAAAATCTAAAAACACCCGTAGACCCTGACTGTACATCTGAGAAGGAGATGACTTTCTTGCTTTTCTGCCTGTTACTTTACTGGAGACAAAATATTAAAGGCTTTAATTTTGGACTAGAAGCCAGGAAATCAAGCTTGTGTGTGTGCTGTGGAAGTAAAAAGGGTGAAGAAATGAGATCCGTCCAGAGCAAGAGTTTTGGTTTATTACACTATTGGCCGGCTGCCCTGAGTCATTTCTCTTTTTCTCTCTGCTTCATAAAACAGAAAGGAGGGAAGGGGGGTATGTTTCCTATTAGATCAGTGGGGTTTAGATGGAGCAAGATACCTCTACCCTGCCCCCCTACATTCAGCCCTAACCCCCACCCAACAGCCAACACGTGGACTTCCAGTGACCGATTGATGGAGCTTTCAGCTTGACTGGTCCCTTTGTAGAGACACCCATCGGCCACAGCCAATCCAATTGATCTCTTATCTCCTGAGGTGTGCTGGGAAGGGAGGATGGGGGCGGGTTGGTTTGGTGTTTGTGTGGTGCAGCCTCCTAAACCCCCGATCACGCTCTCCGACAAAGCCCAGCATGCAGACACGAGGACAAAGTCATATAAACACACCTCCACATGCGAAGACACTCTTTGTTCTGCGAGTGGCTTAATGAGGTGCCTGGAGTGTGTTTTAGTGCGAGTGTTTGAAAAGGGAGGGTGATGGGTGTAATTTGGGTCATTAAGGTAAATTCCTGCCAGTTGCGCAGCTTTCCATTTGCCCCCCTTCGCACCACAACCTCCTTCTTAACACACCCACCCAGCTTGTTGGAGCTAGCTTTTGCTTTCCACTCCCAGGGTGAGGTCTGTAAGGTTTCGGCGGGCGCTTTGATGCTTCTCATTTCTTTCAGAGGCAGAGGAAGTGGTTTACATTGTCTGTCTGTCTGCCAGTGAATGAGCAGCAGAGGTGTTTGAGAGTCAAAGAGGATGAAACAGACTGTGGGGGGATCCTCGGAGGCCTGGCACCTGCATCCCTGAGGTCTGACTTCAGTTTATGAAGGAAAAATGATCAAAGCTCCCATAAAGAGCGACAATTACCCTTAACTGCACAATGTTTGAGTTAGAAAGTTTCTGAAGATGTTAACTTCACACACCTTGGAACAATTTGAGAATCGTAGCAGGTGGCTACGATTACAGTTTGTGATGCACCAATCAAACAGACAATCAAATATTTTACTTCATTGAACATAGTGAAAGTAAAGTTTAGGATCAATCAGAATGGTCGGTTGTATGTTTGCAACAACTTGGATGTATCCTGCTAGCCTTCCTATTACCTCCTGAAAGTCTAGTTCTCTCTCGCAGCTTGAATGAACTGTAACATGTTCTAGAAAAAACACTCAACCGATGCTGAACTGGATGAATTGGTTCCAGTTGCAAATCAGTTTCTTTGTGATTCTATCAGGGGGGCTGCACAATATGGCTGATAAATATGGTAATTACAATGTCTTTTACAATCAATGTAAATGTTTTCCTTAATCTCTTCTTGCTTCCATCATTACACCACTTTCTGTTTGACATTAACTTGTAGACTAATGGGCTTGGATACAAAGAAAACCTCAGTTAAACATGATGTCTGCTAAGAAAATTCCTCTCAGAAGCCCAATTGGAGCATCTTTGATCATTTTTGTTTGAAATTCTTTCAATGTTGCCAATGTTGCAAGATGATAAACAAACTTATTGCTTAGCTCTGTTTCCTCTGAATTCACCAATAGCCTGCTCTGTTTTGCCATTTGCTGAGAATAATCAGGGTGTTTGCTTTGAAAGCAGCTGCTTGTTTCATTTGGCGACAACAAAATGTCTGAACACTTTATAGCTGCAGGTGGCAAAACCAAAAGAACCCGTTTCAAAATGTGTTTACTACCTTTGAGGTGGAAGCAGAAGTGAATCTGTCAGCACTGAAGGTTACTCATAAACAGTTTTTGTGTGAAAGTGTCAAAATAATTGACTGACAAACACTAGATTAAAGACAATATAACAAACACTGTTTGTGTCCCCGTTCTAATGCTGCCCTGGGCTTTCGCCCACATGCCTAATCTCACAAATCATATCAAATCATGTGAGTTATTGTTTACAAGACGATGTTGAAAGCCGCTTTATGTTGTATTTTTAAGTTTAGAGGCATCAGATGAACACAACACATCCGTTTGATTTGCTGACTGTCATGTCAGCAAATCAAACGAAGTCTATTTGTAGAGTTTGGTGCATCTGTTGCCTGGACAGCTTAGGGAAGGACCGTTTCTTGCCCCTGTTAAGCTCCTCGCTGCACGCTGCCACCTCCTTTCCTCCCGCTGGCCAGCGTTGGTTCAACTCACATTTCTGGGCTCAGCGAATTGGAGCTGCATGTCTGGCATTCCTGAGACTAAAGGTTTCTACTTCCTCCTCTACAAAGACGGCTATTGTACCCAGCAGAACCCTGATCCCCAGCCAGTGAAAGAGAAGTGCCACGGATAACTAAAAGCCCCACCTCGTTTCTAAGGAGGAGGGGGAAATTGAATCATGGTGGAATCTGGCTGACTGGTGATGTGATGGGGGATAGTGTGTCAGCTGAAATGCAGGGATCCTGGGAGAGATTACTCCACTTCCTGTCTGCTAATGTCATGGAAAGATTCTCCGTGTGATGTTTCACCTTGACATTAAAATATGTCAGGTCTTTGGATTCTTGGCTCTCAGTGTCTGTGAATCCTGCCAGCACAGTAATAAGAAACACAGGACTGCCTTGCATGCTCTGTCTTCTTTTCTGAAAGCATTTGTCACGAAACATGTAACATTCACATGTTGTTAATTTGGTGCAAAGCCTAATACGATGTATTTTTGGTACACGAGGGACAAAAAACAGTTCTGTAAGATCACCTATTTGGTTTTTGGAATAGAAAAAGGAGGTTTTCATGTCATAGATTGGGGCTAAGACGAATAAATAATTTAGTAATCAAATATTCTGATTAGTCAGATAAAAAAAATTAGCTTTTTCTACATATTTTTTATTTAACCACTTGAGCTTTTAATGCAATGATTATTTCTACACTAAATTACAATTTTCTGTATTAAAAGATTAATAAGTGGATAGCAAAGGTTCTAAATAAGAGCTTTTTGGTTTTTTTGCAGAATTTGAACCAGATGAAACTAAAACTTGAATTCTGAGTAAAACATATTTATTTTCTTTCTGTTATTATCATTATTAGTGCAAAATGTAAATATGTTTTTACAATTTTTAGCTTAATTATGTGTCTGAGTGTTTTGTTCTTCCAAATAATTACCTTTTTTGATTCAATTAGTGATTAGTGACAGTTATTTCAATATTTGATTAATCAAAGTTCTAATCTTAGTCTACATGCAAAATATGTGGATCAAAAACCCATAGAGAAATTAACTCTTAACAAACCATCTCGTTGGTATTGTACGGTGGGGGCAGCATCATGCAGTGTGGATTGTTTAGTTCAGCTGGAACAGTGAAACTGGTTAGATTTGATGTGAACTGGAAGAGAACATATTGGCTGAAAAAACCGAAACAAAACAAAACATGGAAATGTTCAAGGGGTCTGCATACTTTCAGAAAGCACCAAATGAACTAAACTTACTGCTGGAAAGATGCATTAAAATCCCCAAATGTTGCTTTTAGACGCCTGAATACATGATGCGATGCATTAGAACTATACCTGCTCACACTGAGCACCTCAATGGCTGTATTTTCGGCGATAGATATCTCTGTAACCACAGCAACCCCACAAGGTACTGGCTGAGGTTACTTCAGTTTAATTTGCTTCTTGTCCTTGGTTGTGTTAGTTTGCGAGGAGCTACATGTGCGCGCTGCAGCAATACGAGTCTGGCCACGATTTGTTGTTTCCACAGGTAGCCCCACAGGGCTTAGCGCCTTTTTCCAATCACCACCCTGTCAGTTCTGTACAGCTATGTTAGCTATGCGCTAAAACAGCAGACTTGCTGCCAGACTTCCAGTCTGTCGGATGCATCTGGTTTGTTTCACAGCTGGATGTGAGATAAAGCAAAAATGTAATCTGAAAGATGAGTACTGAAAAGAAAAGCCTCATCCTGAAGAACATGGGAGTTTGAATATTGCAAGAAGAGACTCTGGTATGTTTCCAACATTAGGTGGAGTCTCTTGTCCCCGCCACTGTGGAAAACAGTCGGCTCCTAATGAGGACCACAGTGGAAGTTTGGTCACCTAGCATCTGTTTTCTCTTGTGTGGTTAGTTGTGCACAACAGGATTGCATTGCTGTGAGGAAAACGTGTGGAAAAGGAGCAAGTGGGGGGGGTTAGGGTCCTCGTCACCCTTCCAGATTTAGAGATCCTGTGGGAGAACAATGACAGGAGCTAATTATGCTGCGACGGTCACCAAGTTGTGCTGCGTGTCGTCACTGGGATTGCCTCTTTATCTTCCCAGCTGGCAGAAAGATGACCTCAAACTAGTTTATGATGCAGCGCTGCATACTTCAGCATTCCACATGTTTTTCCACTCATGTTGTGCTGCACTTAAAACATTTTAATAGAGTAATCTGGAGTTTAAAATGCAGACATATGCACAGAAATCCATTCGGATGCATCGGGACCTCAGGCTCTGCACCCAGCGGCTTCGATATGCGACTCCTTTATGTGGCCTGATGAAAAATATTCAAATCATTGTAAAATGTCAGCCGACTCCACAGCTTACCCTTTGGTTGGAAGGTCTTTATTTTTCCACAGAGTTGTCCAAGACAGAGAAAAAGATCCAATGCAGTCTGGTTCGGATTGTTAGTAAAGTCAGCAATAGCTGATAGGTTTGAGTTGGGAAAATTTTGGTTTCTCATGAAGAAAAATGAAAAATAAATAAATAAACTGATGCAGAATAACTTTCTTATCCTGTTTTTTTTTTTTGTTCCTGTTTTTTGCCATCATTGATGTATTTCATCATCTGCAGAGTTCAAAATGTTTGTTAGCCTTGTAACAAACTACATTATTAATTACATAATAACTTTATTTATTGTGAAGCTAGCACAAATGAGCTTTGGTGAAATGCTAAATATTTGTTTTAAGATACATTTGTGACCCATTCATTAGCATTTGCAAGCCAAGATGAATTTTTGTTATTTTATTTCTTGTTCACTGTTTTGTTTTTCTCCTTTAGGCTTATTGTGTTTGTAATATTAAAGGCTGAAACACTCAAGTTTTAGCCGATAGTCAGGAAAACGTTTCCTATTAGATACAAGATCTGTTCTTTAGAAAGGTCCAGTAAAGATGGCAACATAAATAAATCAGTGTCAAGTCCGGGTTAAACACAAGAAGTGCAAGTAAAAACAGAATATTCTTGTTTTTGCACACTTCAGCTTTATTTGAAAGGCCTGGAAGCGTTGTTTGAAACGGTGTCTCCCCTTATCCCATTGTTTGGATTAGGGACCGTATCACTCCCAGAATGCAGAAGTTTGTTTTTCTGCATTTGATGGAGCATTCCTGCCGTTTCCTCACAGCAATATTCAGGAAAAAAAAAGATCCCAGGGGAAGCTTGAGTTACCAAAAACAAAATTCCCAGGATTCTTGGCAGCTTTATGCCTGTGGTCATCTTTTGTTGTCATGTGATCTCGACCCACCTTAACTTCTCGGCCTGTCCCTCCTCTCCTCGCTCTTCCTCTCCAGAAATGTTTCAGTTTGTCTGAGGGATGGGCGTCTCCCTACACATGGTTTTAATTTAACAAGGACATTTCCTCACTCCAAACTTCTCAGTTTCTATACCTCTTTTTTTTTTATCTGGTACTCAGCACATTTTTCTACTAATGGACTATTTGTTTTTCTCCTTGTTGCTATGGATTATGGCTAAATTGCAATTATGTCATAGAGTCAAGCTTTTACGCAGAGATTTTGGCCTGTTTGTACACATTTCTGCAGATTTTGTTTAAGCCTTTAAATGTTTTAAATCCACAACATCTAAACTACTCATAATCTAAAGGATATTTGAGAAATGACTAATCAAATTTGTGACGTTTCAGGATCTCCGTACTACGACAACGTGAGGCCCCTGTCCTACCCAGACTCGGACGCAGTCCTCATCTGTTTCGACATCAGCCGGCCCGAAACCCTCGACAGCGTATTAAAAAAGGTACGCCGCTGCTTTCCAGATTCAAAAACTTAACCTGAATAGTCTGGGTGCAATAAACCGGTCTTATGATGAGGCTCAACAAAACCAAACGTCTGCATTCACAAGGCATTACTTCACATCATGAGATCAGATGTGGCTACAAATAAAGACGAGGTGAAGTCTCTCAAGAGACTGACCTTGCTTCGTGGTCAACCTCTGACTCTTGTTCCTGCTCAGAACAAGAGTCTGGTCCGATCGTCTGTGTCGATCTTCTGGGAAGCAACTTTGTCCGTTCTGGTCTGGTGCAAAGCCTGTCACATTTTTCTAAAAATGTTAACATTACACGACAAAACGGAGACACAGTTTGATGCTTCCCAGTCGTCTGTGTGCTTCCACTGATGGCAAGCTCATTTTGAATAATTGAGGTCACGCGTCAAGGTCCGCCAGTGTTCCACGTCTTGTTTATTTGGCTTAAAGTAAGAATGTGGAATGTAATCTCCCCCTGAGGGGATGAAAACTGACATGCAAAACCTCAGTTCTCAGTGCGAGTTTAGGGTCTGAAAATGCAGATTAAAATCTCCTATCTCAACAAAAAATAACTTGAACACAAAACAATTTATGGGACTTGTTTGTCAGATGTTGTACCTCAAGATTTCATCATTTCGTCTTGTGATGATTGCATTGTGTAAAACAACTTCCTCTTCACGTGTTAATGAACTTGATCCCCTGACCCTGTGGCCAGTCGGCCCCGAGGCAGATTACGACCCAAACCGATCAGAGCATTTATTGTGCTGGAGGAAACATGGGGATTATTAGTAGCTCCGTTCCAAGGTTCAAAGCATTGGGGGCTCCAGGAAGTGCTGGTTTTAACCTTTGTGCCAGAGAGACCAGGTGACTGTGGGGCTTGAACTCGTGGGATTTCTATTCAGGACGTTCTGGCCTGCATGAGCAGAGGCGTTTTTGTACTTAAGTTGACCACAGCTGTGGTTAAATCATCAGTTTTAAACTTGAGACCACAGAGGAAATCGGTCAATTGATTTTGGGGGAAATTTATGAGACTACTCTGTGATCTCAAAGTGTTTTTCTTCTGCAGTGGAAAGGGGAGATCCAGGAGTTTTGTCCCAACACCAAGATGCTGTTAGTTGGCTGCAAGTCGGACCTGCGCACCGACCTCGGTACCCTAGTAGAGCTGTCCAATCACCGACAAACCCCAGTTTCCTATGACCAGGTATTCAGCGCTTTATTGTCTTTCTTACTCCTGCTCTAGATGGAAACGATACAGGAGTTTTTACCAGCCTTTCTGCCGAATTTGATCGTTTAATATTAATTATAATAGAATTAGAGGAGATGTCACACAGTGTGAGAGACACAGCTCTTCAGTTTAACAGAATATTACTGTTACTTGAAAGGCAGACAAAATTATTTCAGAATTGACACTACTAGCATTTAGCATGGTTAGCATTGTTAGAAAGTAGCTTAGCTTTCACATTGTGGGAGAGATCATGCTTCAACCTTTTTTCTTCCAGGGCTCCAACATGGCCAAGCAGATCTCTGCGCCTTACATCGAGTGTTCGGCCCAGCAGTCGGAAAACAGCGTCAGGGACATTTTTCACGTAGCCACGCTGGCCTGCATCAACAAGAACAGCAAAAACGCCAAACGAAGCAAGACTGTTCGCGCCAACAAGAGGATTTCACACATGCCCAGTCGGCCTGACCTGGCAGCCGTCTCCACGGATCTCCGGAAGGACAAAGCCAAAAGTTGCTCGGTCATGTGACTTCTCAGACTGGTGGGAGGGGGGTATCAGACTAAAGAAAATGAGGACAGCGCATTAGTGCAAGCAGGGAGCTTAGGGACAAAGCCCTGTCCTGCATGCTAAAAAACCCTTATTTGTCTGGAAAGGGGTTTTTTTCTAAGCTTCAGTTCGTATAAGTGTTACTGGAATATTCTGCTCCAATGAGAACTCGTTGAGTAATTGTGTCCCAGTCGATGTACCCCCACCTCAGCTACCACCAGTCCCACCAGAGGAGGAAGCTATCAGTCAGCTGGCTATCAGTTCTGGGAGGAGACCCGCTTCCTCTGAGGACGAAGCGGATGCAGTCAAGGCTTTCCTCACCAACAGGAAATGAGCAGGAGGAGTGATGTCATTAAGAGACCATCACATGTAAAGGGTTTTAGAACATGCAATCTTTTGAGCACGAGCCAAAGCTACGGCAGGCTGTGGCCTATGAAGGTATTTTTTAAAAAAAGTGCAGGTTCAAAGACTTATTTAAGGCTTTCAACTCATCACTGTGGTTTGGAACTGATTCACTTTTACCTCTGCTCCTGTTACTGTCGGTGTGTGTGCAGAGGAGTCCCTGTTTCTGATACTGTTGTTAGTTAAATGTGAAGTTGTTGGTGTGCAACTGCATCTTTGTTTCTACTCTGATTCTGTTGGTTTCATCCTCACTCTTCCGATGGTTGCATTCAGTCGCCTCAACCAACAGTTTCTGAAGTAAGATTGAAGGTTTTAAACCTTCAAACCATTATGTAGCAAGAGAAAACAAAGTATTGTCCAAAAATCTCAACTTCCTGGAGTTTAGCTTACCCCACAGGTTCTACATGTCTCTCAGGGGTCTCAAACTCCAGTCCTCGAGGGCAGAGTCCTGCAGTTTTTAGATGTGCCACAGGTACAAAAACGCTGGAATGAAATGGCTTAATTACCTCCCCCTTGTGTAGATAAGTTCTCCAGAGCCTTGCTAATGACCTAATTATTTTATTCAGGTGGTGCAGCAGAGGCACATCTAAAAGTTGCAGGACTGCGGCCCTCAAGGACTGGAATTTGAGACCCCTACTAGAAGGAGGTAAAACTTTGAAATTGCTAATGTGTTCATAACCAGCAACTCTCAAACTAAAATCCAAACAGGATTTTTTCTGGATTTTATTCCAGGGTTAAATTTGTAAGCAGTAAACTTTTCTTAGCCTTTTAGTCATAAAGCTAATGTGTCACTCATTAGCTAATCTAGGCTAAATAACAAAATGGCTGCTGCAGCGAGCAATCTGCTGAGTTGGTTAGCATCTTATTTCAGATCATTTTCCCAGTATAATCTACGTGACCATTGCTCAAAATTAAAATATTCTTGTTGCATATTTGAATCAAGAACTATATTATCTAATTAGCTCATTTGATTTTACTCCAAACTCAAATTCAGACAAAAAAAAACTACAAGTCAAAATGGAGGAAGGAGATGTAGCCATGTATATGTGTTGAACCACTGAACCTTTATCCAAAAATATAAAGGTGAACCCAACAATTCTTGAGTGGTAAAGTTCCATTAGCATGTTTACCAATGAGCTAATTAGCTAGTTAGCTAGATTGTTGGCTACAATTGAATTTCAGCAAACTGTACATGTGCCAGAGGGATTCCTCTAAATGCAAATAATCCTGATTACAAATGATAGGATTGTTGCGTCTTAGCTGTTAGCTAGCATATGCCAACTTTCATCAATTAGCCACTGTGACTTTTTTTTTTATTTTGAATATATTTTGCAATATGTTTCACTTGGAACTAGGAAGGCTAGACTGTTTCCAGGCAGTAACAAACTGTTAGCATCTAAGCTAAGCTAGTTGGCTGACTTATTAGCTAACTAGTCCATTTCAGCTGTTCTCCACTGTAAGTGTGCAGCCAAATTTGTCGAAATGTTAGCTGGCTTGCTAAAATGTATTAGCTGGTATCATTTCCTACTCAAACATTACTCAAATAATTTAATAATTTGGACTTTTTTGTTTGAATGGTCTGAAATATTTGCTGTTTAATTAAATATCAATCGTTGTTAAAGGCATTGATGCACTTTTAATTGAAGTAACTGCCATTAAAGTTTTTCTTATCTGTGCTGTCTCATTCTGCAGCACTCAAACTCTTATCCTCATGTTCCAACCTGTCCTATCTGTGTACGCTCATGTTTTCTTGAATGTTGTCACCTTCAAAATGTCTTTTGCCAATGTTATTGCCACAATATTTATTGAATTATATATTTTCCCTTTTAGAATAAATAAAACAAATTAAAATACTCTGTTCTGTTTATTTATAAGTAGCTGAAATGGTAATGAACTTGTTTAGATTTGTGGCGTTTTCCTGTCAACAGATTTAAATAAGACACATTGACTTTTCTTGTATATGTATGTAGTAAGTGTTGCGTAATGAAAACATTTCATCAGTGTCTAGTGGATTTGACACTGAGAGAGACTTTTTAGTATTCTGGGGTTTTTTTCAGATGATTTCATTTAGAACAAGCTGTTTAAAAACTAAACACTAAGCTTTGACTTGAATTTATGGCAAAGCAAGTGGCTGTAAATCAGATAGCATGACAAATCTGAAGCAAAGTATTTGAATTGGTTGTATTTTGCTCGTCAGTGTTAACATAAACCTCTTCAGACTGACAACTGTTTCTTTTCAGAAAAACAAGCTGAACTTGAGTCCTTGATGGTTGAGACATCACAGTGAAAAGCAGGTTTTGTCGCTGCTGCTTGGAACAAACAGTTCTCTGTGAGTGAGAATGAATAGTCTTGCCTACTTATAAGGCTAAAGTATCAATAGACGCAGACGGTTTTGTATGAGTCCTGGTAAATTCCCGGGGGCTACCGAGCATGGAAACTGCTTTTGCTCACGCAGCAATCCTATAAATCACTCAGTGACTTCATCACATGCATAAAGAGTGAGATACATTGGCTTGTCAGTGGCAGGAAAACAAGTCTGTCAGGTGAAAATAAACATGGGTGATAAAAAATTGTTCATCTTATGACGGCAAGCATGAAGCATTTTTCCAGGCTTAAAGAAAAAGATTATTATTGGGAGGAATATGCCTTCAAATCAAAACTCTTGTGATATTTTATGACTGAAATGAAGCCCATTAGCATAAACTTGTTGAAAGGTAATAAAGTGTACTTTTCAGTGCTATAAAGTGTGGGTGAGGGTGAAGTAGAAACACCTGGCAGAAGGCCCAGATCAAGGGATCTTGAACTCACACCTCCAGGAGAGTTTGCATCATGTACCGAGGGAGTTTGGAGACATGAAGTCTGATTGGACCCACACAGCAGAAGGAACATTTTTCTGCAAATCCTTAAGTTGCTCCCATATTCTCAGTGAAGGATGCAGAGTCTGAAAACTCTGGGAATGGGGAGTCCATTAGCAAACATAGAAACTCCCCAATGGAACAGTGTAAGAAATAAATAGGATTCGACTGGACACTGTGAATCACAACCTGGGGAGGTCAGAGTGTCTTCTAATGTCTCAACCTCCCTGGGTGCTGGAAGAGACTCCATTTGATTGCTTAATCTTAATTCAGCATACATTTGGTTGTTTACCACTGGATCTCCTGAAGCATTTGTGGTTCCAAGGTTACTGTAAGGATTATTAAATTCTTGCATCACCAATGAACTCTGGGAAAAACGTTAGAGTTGTGTGTCAATGGGTGTCTGGATTTCCCTGGGGTGTGTCCAGTCCATAAATGTCAAGGATAGTCATTCTTTTAGTCTCTTCAGTTAAAATTAAAATTTTGTTAAAAATTGTGTGTTTTGAAAAACTCTAAAAGGATCACAATTTTCTACCAACTTATGCAGACAATTTTCACTCCTATCTTTCCTAGTGAACTGTTTGATCCTACACATCTATAGTCTTTTTGTGATTCCTGCAAAGGAAAATAGCAATAAAGTCTTCAGTTTTGCCCTGACTTTATTGGTCTTTAACCTGATCCAGATAATGTAACAAGTAAGGAATGCTCCTAAAGCACAGTTTCTGAGCACAGCTCTAATCCCACAACTCCCCACGGGTGGACGGGGCTGGCAGAAAATCAGCGTATATCAACTGTGCAGTCCGCCCTGTCCGGTCCTCTATATGTCCCATAACTCCTCAGACATTTCGTATACATATGAGAGGGGGTGAAATGAGCTCATGGTCCGTCTGCAGATGTGCTGTGGGTAATTTCAGCTGTTCTCCTAAGGTTGACCTTTAATGCATTGCAGGTGTTCGGTGCGTTGGAAGGCCGTTTTAGTTAGATATACTAAGAAAGCTGTATAAAAATTGTAATATTCACCCTTTTCAATGACGTCACTGAATCATTCCAGGCGCCATGATGGACATCAGAAGTGAGGGACGTGAGTATTGAACTGAGCGACTAAAATTGATTTCCAAAGTTGTTTTTGTCACTTTATTCATGACTTTTGCTTGTTGGAGTTAAGCTAATTTTTCTTTGAACGTCACACACCTGGTTGGGTCTCATAGACGGCGGAATTTACAAAAGTTGGACACAGCTAGCTTAGGAACCGACCCGGTTTGACGCGTTTGTCAAATTACAGACTTTTCCTGAATTCATACCACATGATTTATGTAGTGTCATAAACACTATTCCCCTTACACAAGAGCAGCCTTAAAAAAGTACAGAAGACGAGACACGAACCAGTTATTTCTATTTATGCTAGGCTAGGCTACATGACGGTTGGGCCTGGTCTCCATGGTTACGGATGGAGGCCACTATGCGATAAATAATATCTTTCGAATCAAACTTACATATAAAGTACATAAACGTCAATATTTTCACCTTGTTCTAAATAGAGTTTGCAATATGTTTCACTTGGAAATATGAAGACTGTTTCCAGGCAGTAACAACCTGTTAGCATCTAAGCTAATTAGCTTATTAGCTAATTAGCTTATTAGCTAATTAGCTTATTAGCTAAATTAGCTAATTAGCTTATTAGCTAAAGGCTAATAAGCTAATTAGCTTATTAGCCACTGAAATGTTCAGTGGAGAACATTTCAGCTGTTCTCCACTGCAAGTGTGCAGCCAAATTTGCCGGAATGTTAGCTGGCTTGCTAAAATGTATTAGCTGGTATCATTTCCTACCAGTTATTATGACTGTCCATTATCTTTCCCTCATTATGAAATAAAATGACAAGCTTTATTTTATATATATTGTCTATTGTCTATGACTATTTTTAAAGTGAAATCAACTAAGTAGAAGCATTAAGTTACATATATCTGATTTTGGACTGCCTTTAAGTTGGCTTTGACATATTTGTCAATATTTGACATAAACTGGTCATCAGGATCAAGTTAAAAATTCACCACAACAAAAACTCATTCAGCTCCAACAGACTTTTGTAAAGATGTAATTAAATCCTCCTTTATTGCTGACAGCCTTGAAGGAAAGGACAGGTCTCATTAACCTTCGACCTTCACAACCTAATTAGCTCACATCTAGTGTCAGCAGCCTGGGATTTACTATCAAGTTATTTATAGTTGTTTTAATTTTTAAAGTTAACTATTGTTTTCCACTGTAGATTGAACAGGACTGTTTAAAGCTTGGGAAATTGTTTTACAGAATTTACAATTGTATCGTTCTCCTAATTCACATTTATGCGCTGCTTTGTGTCAGTTTAATACACAAAATCTCAATAAAATACCTAAAAAGGTGTGGTTGTGAAACAGTAACTCTTACACAACACTCTTGTTTTTTCTGCCATAGCAATCATCTGCCCAGATAAATTTATGACAGCGTCATAGAGCCGCTGGAATGGCTGTGCACTTTCCGTGTTGTTTAATTTAAACTCCAAGTGTGAAACTGGGTTTGCAGTCATGACTCAGAGACGAACACAGCGGTGACATTTATGCGTGAGAAATGTGACAAGAAGCCACTCCCATTTGGGACTTGTGGAAAGGTTGAGTTTTCATGGAGCTGCAGCCTTTGGCATCTCATCCCCATAATGCAGAAATGATTTGAAGGCAATCTTGTTTTTATTTTTGTTTTCACCTGCCTGCCTGTAATCTGACAAGTGGATGTTTTAGAGTGTGGCTGGAAGGATTTTAACTTAATTCTTTTTCTTACTTTAAGCTGCTAAAATCACAAGTTTAGTCATTTGGAAGCCTTATTTAACAGCATTTTTGGTTTTGATAAATAGTTTTAATATTAAGCTAAAGATTTTCTACTGCAAAGCAGAATAAATTTTCTTATCTGTCAGCAGTAACCGGCTTACAGAGGGAAGGCGTTATCCATCACCATCGTTCCAGGGCAACAAAGTTGCTTTTTTCATCTTGTTTAAGAAATAAATTTCTTTTTAAATGAACCGTTGAGGCAGAACCAGCAACTCCATGTTGCCCGAATGACAATCTATCAACAGCATATTGCTTTTTATGTGTGCAATCCAGTCTCTGATATTAGACCGGGTGAAGCAGAGGTCGAGGTGGAAGTGAGTTCAGCTCAATGAATCAGAAGATTCTCACACTTTTTAGGGAGCAGAGTCTAAATCTGGCGACCTCCTCCTTCCCTTCCTTCCTTCCCCCCAATCTTCCTGCAGGACCAGCTGGGACGGACATAAACTGGGAGTGTAAGATCAATAGGTCTAAGCTGGTGGCTCATTGTTTCCTTCTCTATCCTCCTGCCTCAGACAATCAGTCATGCTCGGCTGTAACATAGAGACAGACTCAATGTGAAACAATAGAGGGTTTTTTTCTTGTCTTTGGGAAAAAAGCAGCATTGGACTGAAGCCGAATGTCTTCTGAAAAGAGGATGAAGGGAGCAGACAGCTTGGTTTTAATTCATTTTGAATATAAAAGAGGATAAATGCAAAACGAAGAACAGAGAAGAGATTAAAACTGTAGCCTTACCACCTTTTGATATGATGGACATGGCATTCTGTCCAGGGTGCTATGGCCTCGGGGGAGTCACTTGGCAAAAAAAAAAGTTAAATATTTAAATGGATAAAGCTACACTGAACAGAAATTTGCTGGGAAATCTTGAGAACCAGCACTAACTCAAATATCATGTCATTTTTAATAAATAAACTATAATGCAAAATAAAACTCGGTTACCTCTTGCAACAGCTTCAGTCATGAACTCAAGTCTTTGATTTTCTGATTTTCTTTGGATCAAAACTAATCTTTGAAAGATTTGTCTACACTAATTTGAATGCCAAGTGAGGGACGTTCTCCCGGTCAGTCTTTCATGATGAGTAAATATGGCAAAATGAGGAATGTTTACATGTAGCATCAGCTGAAAGAGCCCGACTTTGAATCCTCACAAACCCTGCAGATGGAAGCCAGGCTAATGCGGGTAGCAAGAATAATTTTAACTCTTTCTTGGTCACACTGGCGGCCGATTCTTTAGCTTAACCTCAAATCAACTGGATGCTCTAACAATGATCAGTTGTGAGGAAGGGAAGGCAGTCTATTCCACCCAATTTAGGAAGATTGTGTTGTATAAATGTAATTATCTGAAAAGTGGAAATCTTAAGCGAGGTTTGAGTAGCTCTGGCTGACAGTACTTCCTTTTTCTTCCTCCATCTTGCAGTTATTAAAACTTTCCATCTTGAACCTTTCATGGTTGAATGAAGCTTGAATCTGAACATCAATAAGATTTTTCTCCAACAAATTTACATACAGGACTTTATAGACCATTCTAGGCCATTAAGCCTTATATTTCGGTGGGAGGGTTAATTTGCTGTAAGCTTGGCTCCTTCCTCTGCTCTCAGCTCATATTTCAACAAAACCGTAAACTTGTTGGTTCAGTGCCTCACTCCATTGGGTATTGTGTTTGGAGCGGGAGTGTGAGAGCAGAGAAAAACACTTTTCATTTCGCTCCTTGGTGGAATTTTTCTGTGGTGAAAGTTCCTGACTCATGTTTTAATGCGTGCAGAGTTAGCCAACAAGATGAAGAGCGCCAGGCTTTCTGCTTTGCAGCTTCATCTTCACTATCACAATCATTTGAGTTTCTTTTACATTTCAGGGAATCGAGATTCCTTTAGTTTGTTTGGTTATTTCCACTTTCCGCTCTCTTTCTGTTCTGGTTTGCCATATGGCCTTTCCAGACCCCCGACCTCCAGCATTTCTCCTCTCCTTTCCATCTGCTCCCTGCTTCGCTCTTGTTGGTTTGGGGCCTAATGTTGACTGATTTGGCATATGTTTTAACATGTCAGGAGAGTCCCAGTCGCCTGTTTCAGCTACATCTGCTTAATAGCAGCCACATTGTGCGATGGTCTTCGGGAAACATGGATGAGTTCATTTTTGTGGTCCGTCAACAGTAAATAAGCTTGTCAGTTACCCTCCAACAGATGTGGCTGGAACCAAAAGAAGAGTTTATTTATACATTTTGGTTGTGAATAAATCTAATGCTTACAATTACAAAGAGATTTTTCATTCCTGTGTTTGACTTGCGTGGTGAGCTAAAGCAAAATATGACAGTTTGTTGAAAGATAATATATGTTAGGCTGATGTGGACAAGCTGTAACAACAACATCTCTTTCTCATGACAGTGAGGTGCGAGAGCTCCAGTTCAGCTGCAGAAATGCAAATGTCTATTAAAAGTGCTAAGCCATGCTAATATAGGAACATTTAGCCCAATTAAGTAAAAAACAAAAAATCTTAAAGCATGGTGATGGACAGATTGAGGACACCCTGTAGGAATAATCTCCTTTGATACTAATAATTAATAAAATAGGCCAACTTGGTAGGATAAAAAAAACACATTTTGAGAATGCTATATTTTTTCCAAATCAAATTTGTTCACCAAAAAGCTCATAAAACTTCAACAAAACTGCAGGTTTGTGTCTGTGTCTGGTGAATTTTTGGTTAAAACATGTTTGTTCTTCATTCTGTGGGTAGAAAATCCAGAAATTGTATTTAAGTGAGAGTGAAATTACCCACCTAGAGCAGAGCAAAGGGTAGTAAAAAGTAAATTTTTTCAAAAAGGTTTCTCAAGTAAAAGTAATTCAGTACATGTAACTGGTTACTACCCAACTCTGGTCTATTAGTGCTCAAATGTCCTGAAGAAGTGAATGCAGCAGGTGTTGCCTTAATTAGCCTGGCAAGCTTCACTTGTGGCGCTGATGGGTGATGGCAGAGCAAGAGAGAGTTTAGGAACTGGTCCACACTCCACACCAGCTGGAGGCAGTAATGCACCATTTGTGTTTTTTGCCGACAGCCATAAAACATCGAAGAAGAACAGGATGGAGGGCAGTACTTCAACCATCTACTGAGATATCCCTGAACTGGAAACCGCAGCCTTTGCTCTGCTCTAGGTGGGTAATTTCACCGAGCTGTTTATTTATGGGGGAACTTTTCTGCTATAATTTGAGAGCACACGTTTTCAGTCAGTATGTAATGATGTTTCACCACACTACCAACACACACAAAAATAACAACCAAAACTGTCATAACTTTATTACCCTGTGAAAATAAGTCAGAAATAATCCAAATAGCTCAATGTATTTTTTTCTTTCTTTCTTTCCTTATGGCTTAGAAGGGATGGAAAGAACATGTTTTTCTTTTGTATTTTGTACATAAGTTTGTGATCCCAAAGAAAAAGATATTAAACTTCAGATATCTCACAAATGAATATTAACATACATGGAAAAACCTTACAAAAACATTGTGGCAGGAAGACTTTCAGTACTCAATCATGCAGCTTGAGCTGACTAGTACATTATTAAGAGGTAACGCAAAGTATTACAAGGGAATTGAAAAGAAAATAATTCGGCATGGCCTCTTGGGTGCTCTGTACACTTCAAATAAAATGTTACATAAGGTTATGTAATTAATATTAAAATGCATCTATGTTTTTCAATTAGGTGAAGTCTTGGTGGACTGGTACGTTGACTTTGACTGGATCAGAGAGCCTTCAATAACCATGGATGTTAAGGTGAGATTTTTTTACAGTCAGCAATGTAGTTCTATATGTTAGCATAAAATATAAAAGAACGTAATTCTTGAGTTTCCAATAAAACGTTTGACTCAATAGTCTGTCAACTGTTGAGTCAAATGTGTTGTGTAGAAAAAACAGTGAAGGTATCAATATGTTAACACTTAGCTAACCAATAGTGGCTAACGATGCTACAATTAGCCTCCGCTTTAGAGCTTCAAGGGTTTTAAATTAAATGCTGCTTTCAAGTGGGCCAATTTAGCCAACTCTGTCGCTTTGGGTAGTTGGGTTTCTGCTATTAGAGGAGATAATGGATGTAAAAGCACATGATGTTTGCTATTCTTAAATAGCAGAGTGCTGCTGTTGGCCTCTGACTCATCCTTACTTGAAATTGCTTGGGTGTTGTATTAAACTTAACTAAAAATAACTTAAAATGCTTTTAGAGTCATAAAGTTTTATCAGTTTGGGCAGGGCTTTTATTTTTCCTTGAATACTGTGGAAAATCTTCTTGTCTCAGTTTTGTGAATCTCTCATGATGAAGGTACGACTTAAGAAAACCATACAGTGGCATCTAAACATGTAACACTGACTGAATGGCAAATTGGAGAAATTAAAAGATGCAAATTTGGCACAGCAGGACCAATTTGTGGTGTTTGACTCACCACCGCTTTCCCCTCTTCTAACCGTCTTTTAACAGCAGTTTCTCCTCCAGGCTTTACCCTCATTAACCTCAGTCATCACTGCTTCCTGTCAGCCAGCCCCAGACTTGGCTCTGGCACACACACTTGGGTCAGAGCTAATCCAAATTCCACCCAATCTTAGTGAAATCTGCACAGCAGAGCCCACTGAATGCAAAACACGAGAGAAACTAGAACACTGAAAAAAATGATTTCTCTTAATGTGTGTTTGTGTGAGAAGGAGACACAAAATGCGACTCCCCCCCTGCTGAGTGTGTTTACTTCACCACTAACAAAAAAAGCAGCCAGGACTCCCACCTGCCTTGATTATCATGAATCAGCTCTGGATGAGTCTGGCATCCCTCCCACCGTGGCATTGATGCGACTATGAGCCAAACACTCTTATCACTTACCAGCTGCCGCGACACATTTGTTTTCCTAAACCATAACTTCATTTGCATGGAAATTAATTAAAAGATAGTACTTTGAACCGTTTGCATTATTGTCCTCCAAAGAGTTGGAGTTTCCTCCGGAGGAAGGGAAGTTATTTTTAGTATTTTCAAGTCTGGATAAGAAGGGAAAAGGAAAACGGTATAAAACTATGCTTGCTTTTTCAGACTTCATTCCTGTATCCATTTACCAAAACCTCCTTCCAGCTGTTGGTCCATCCATCACTGTTCCTTTTTATTTATTAACCAATTTATTCACCTTTCTTATCGCTCTGTTGATCTCAATTAGTTTTTCCATTGATTCAGTAGTCATTAATCAATTTATTCATTTTCAAATCTCTTTGTTTCTGTTAATCATATTGGGTAAGAAAATAGTTCGAGGAGTTTGAGTTAAGGATTTAGTTTTATAAATGCACATTAAAAGGTTCTTCACACCTAATAATTACCTCTTTAACCAAACTTTCATTTGGTACCTCTCCTGTTTCAAGCAATTAAACTGCAATTACAACCCTGCAGTGCCTGTCTGGTAATGGAGTGTGATGCGTTCAGAGAAATGAGCTCAGCAGAGAGTCTTCCAAAGATTGATTGTGTGTGAAGGTGGAGGAGCAAAGAAGTGAAGGATAAATCTTTTTTAATCAAAACTGAGCACACTCAAAAGTACATATTGGTATAATTTCACTGGCTGATAAATCTAAATCTAAGAAATCTTAATATGTTTATCAACTTCTATAGGAAGAAGATTACGTTCAGGTCAGGCCATTTTGTCTCATTTACGTCGATTTTGTGAGATTGTGTGAAAATTTGGAAACTTTAGTTTTTAAATTTGGGATTGCCTTATTAAAACTCTACTAACTTCAGTAAGTCTGTTGTGAACATGCCCCAAAGTGAAACTGCCTTCTTACTGCGATCAGTGGTTTAGTTTCCATCGGATGAAAAAACAAAATGGCGATCAAAAAATCAAAATTTAAGCAAAAACAAAAACCCATAAAGCCAAATCTTGGCCTTTTCTTGAACTCTGAGCCGCCACCGAAGAAGAAAATCTGTTAATAGCACTGCCAAGAGACGATTATGTATGAATTTAGCTGCAAGAAATAATGACTAATGTAGTTAGATTGTTTCATGACAGGTAATAACTTCATTCATGACATTAACTGCTTTCCATTAACTGATTACAGTAATTACTGCTTTAAATGGTTAAATACACAATTATTGTCTTTCTAGAAAATTTCAAAGCTTAGAAAAAGTTAAATCAACATGAAATAATAAATGTTTTACCTTCATAATGTTGCAGTTTTGATGCCGTAAAGTATTCATTTTTCCACAATATTGGAGCAGAAATAAAACCAGTTTACTCAGTCAACCCTATTAATAATTAATATATTGTTAGAGCTTCTTTAAATATTTGTAATCAGAGGTCATTTCTGTCTTCCAGTCTTTGAAAGATGGAGCAGCTTTGATTATATTAAAGCAGTGAACGTTTCCACGTTTTCATCCGTATTTGTTCTGCAACAAACATTTAATTAATGAAATTCCTTTGGTGAGACAGAAGACAGGCTCAAGGAGAGTTCATGTGTAAATATTAGATGACATCATTGCATTTGCCTTCATTTTAGTCTTGATGAAGAGTGACAGTTGTGAGATTGGCTTTTTGATGCGAGATTGACTCAAACAATAGAAAAGGTACCAATGTTCAACAGATTTTTCTGTTTAAAAAGGAAAGAAAAAATAGTTCACATGCAGGTCTTATAATTTGCATAACTATTTAGCCAGACAAAATATTTTAAACAGTTCTTCAAAAGGAATCAATTCACTAGATCAGAACACCTTCAAAATAATCTAATGTGTATTCATGGATTTTAGGGATAAGGTTTTTAAACAGTATTTGATAAAAAAAAAAAACATCTTAGTAAATGAAGAATAACTATTTATAATTGGAGATGAAATAAAATGTAATTGAACATCTGTTTCAAGTAGCTGTTTCAGACTCGCATTTTAAACTAAATAAAGGTCATTGTTGATGGCAATCTGCAGACAAAAATCTTAAAAATCCCCCATTTTTCCAGTGTAAAGATGAGAGTTGGGTTCATAAGGTTGTGCAGACTTGTCTTATCAGCTGCATGCAGCCTGCATGCTCTTTACCTATCAGTCATCTCTGAGCAATGCCACAGATCGAGGACGGATCACAGATGAAGGAAGGCACAGCAGCACTATTATTAGAAGCCTCCTCGGAAACATTCACTAGAGAGCAGCCAGCAGCATGCTGAGTTCAGAGTGCATGTTTTACCTTAGCTTCCCCCAGACCCGATAAAATCAGTCTGCTGTGAAAGGATTTATTCATTTCAAGGTGAAATCACAAGAATGCTGCACTCCTCCCTGAGTGCGAGCGTACACCTCAGTCGATGTACAGAGACAAAAGTGTAAAAGCCACTGGGAGGGGAAAGAAACAAGGTTCTTCTTTTAAGTGGAGACACAAAGGAGCGAAGCCGCAGCAGCAGAGAGAAAAGATTACTTTAAAGCCAGTCGAATGGCTTTGCAGCTTTTAAAACATAATTTATTTTATGAGCAGAAATCCTTGCCATTAAATTGTAGAAATATGCAGAAGTTTGCTTAGAAATCGTCGTTTTTATTTATGAGAGAACAAAGTTCTAAAACTGAAAAAGTGAGTCTGAGTCCCGCCTAACGCAGGAATCCTGCACAGCTGCCAGCTTTCTCTCTATAGGGCTCCACAGCCAAAAGCAATTAAATCTCAATGAGGTTACGAACAACTCAAAGTCCCAACGAGGTGGGGGCCCAAAAAGTGAAACTGACTTACCCCCACTGCCAATCTCCCGGGATTTCCCCAACCATCTGGAAAATTTTAAAATGCTCCAGCCGACATCATTTAATCAAGTTTTTCTCTAAAACAAAAACATAGCAGTAAAAAAAGACCTTCCACAAACAGTGGGTGGCAACTGAAAAGTACATTTGAAGCTTGAAAGCTTAAATTTGGGCATTTTATCTTAGTTTCTCAGATTATGTATCAGTAAAGCACCTGATGCCAAGCTGAGTCTAAGACAGAAATACAGGGGAAGGAGAATGCCATTCACAGCACTTGTGTCACTCTGTACAGAGATTTTGCCCAAATTCCTACATTTCTTGCAACTGCATTCATTAAAATTTAAGTAGTTATTTCTCTGTTCCATTTGTGGCTGCCAGCATTTTAATGGTGTTATATTGTCACACAGTAAAAAGGCCCCTGAAGAGCTGCTTGGTCTAATGCCAGTGAAGTAGAAACGCATGAACATAAAATAACCTGGTTTTATTAGCAAATAATCATGCGGTTGAAGTGCTCTGGCAAGGCATAATGCAAAGAAAGTAGAGGAGCAAGCCATAAGTTACTTACTGACTGTTTAAGTTGACTTTAATTTGCAGCCAGTATGACTTTATTTGGAAAATTACAATTTGAAAAACCCAGCAGCATTTGTAAAATTAGCATTTTGGAAGGAGAAATAAGGGTGTTGGATGTAAAAATGGATGCTACATGCAAAGTTGTGTCGACATCTGGACAAGAATATCGCTTTTGAAAATCTGTCATAAGCGCTTTGTGTGAATGGACACAGAACTTATGGGTTGTAGCTTTGAGATATAAACAAAACTAAGCTGATAATTTTGAATTGCTGGGTTGCAGATGTACCAATGTCACCCAATGGGGGTCAGGAAGTAAATGCAGCTCGTTTACTTCTGTTGATCCACCTTCAAAATGGCTAAAGTCTGTGTCCTGTACAGATTTAAAAGTAGATCCCAGCACATAGTAATAACATGGCTTAGCTTACTGTTAGCATTAGTGGTAGCATTGTTATCATAGACTAATTACTTACAATAGCATAACTCACTACTCACCGGCAGAAACAAGTCAACATTAATGCTTTTTTTAATCCTAAATGGTTGACTCAACCTGAAACTAAATTATTTTGAAAGCCTTCATCTATAATAGGAAGTCTGCAGCACCAGAGTGTTAGTTATGTTGATTTCCTCTACGCCAGATAATGGATGTAGCTGGAGAGCAATACCTTGGGCATTGTTTACTAAAATGATTGATTCATTGTTCTGTGTTTACCTGCTTTTCCTTTTTAGCTTTTTCTTTTTGTCCATATTGGTGAGACATCAACTGATAAATGTCAAAGACTTAATATCCCATGATATTCAAGATGACAAACACTCAGAACAAGAAATATTTTCCCAAGAGACCTACCAAGGACAAATTTGTATTGCTCCACTATTCTTTGTGCACAGAATAAAAAACCTTTTCACAGGTCCAACTGCATGAAACGCCAAAAAGCTGCACCTCTAGATAATTAATAATGGATCAAAGTGTACCATGTAACCCAGCAGCCATCCATGTTGGCTCTACATTGATCTCTGCTGGCATTGTGTACAAGAGGAGCACTGACCCATGACCTTGAGGTTGGGATCAAACAAAATAAAATCTTTCAGCCGCTCTCTCTGTTGTATTGGACAGGGATGGATGGATTTTAATGGTTACATTTCACCTGTAATTGATTCATGTCAACAACAGAGTACAACAAACAGGTAAAGATAAATCCAAGAGGTCACATTCGTCAGCAAGGCAAATTAATTGGTTTAGGACCCATTAAGACACAGGAAATGATTGCATTAATTGAAATATCACAGTAAAAGATGAGACATCTGGAAAAGATTAAGAGACCTCTAGACTGAATCCTTTGAAAACCTCCTGGTTATTCCATCAAATATTGATTTCTGAACTCTTCCTGAGTTCAAACATTAGAATTGTTC